TTGATAAAACAAGATAATACTAAAAAGTTCTGAAGGAACAAGATCATAAAGGGCCTTTTATAGTCACTGTATTTTTTTTTTCATTGCTGCTATAACAAATTACCATAAAATTGCTTAAAACACCTTCTTGTTATATCACAGGGTCAGATGTCTGAGCACTGCATGGCTCAGCTGGGCACTTTGCTTAGGGCTCACGAGACCAAAATGACTGGATCAGCAGGACAGTTCCTTATTGGAGATTCTGAAAAATAATCACCTTGCATGTGCATTCAGAGTTCGATTCCTTCTTATACTTTCCTTGTGGGCCCTCCAGCTGGTGATTCAGTTGAGCAGTGATATGTCAAGCCCTTCTCATACTTGGAACCTCTTTGACCACTGGCTAGAAAAACTCTGCTTTTAAGAATTTATATGATCAGATTTGTCCAATCTAATTAATATTATCTTAAGGTCAGTTGTATATTATAACATAATGTAATTTTAAGAATAATACCAGGGGTTGAAGATCAAAATTCTTGTTAAAGACTTAAGACTTTATTCTAATGAGTTTGTGTGATTTTAAGTAGAGTGTTGTGATCAAGTGTGTGTGTTATAAGAATCACTTTGCCTGTCACGTAAACAAGAGTCAACTTGGGATCACCCTGAAGTCATGGGAAACCACTTGAAGGGGTATTACTTGAGATTCAGTTACAGGTGACAAACTACACTAGCTACTTTAAGAAGAAAGGAATTTAATAAAGGGGAAAAGTTACTGATAAAATCTTTGGAAGGACTGCCTTTGATTTCCCTCTTAACAGGATCACCGAACTAGCCCAACAAGGGACTGCTACCTTCACTAGAATTAGAAAAGTGGAGACTGAGGAAGCTGCTGTCCCTGGTGCTGGATCACATCACCTTAGTGGTGATTTGTATCAGCAGGCCAGGGATTTGACTTTTGGAACTAGCTGCTTGAACTGCAGTCTAGTAATTAAGAAGCCTCTACCAAAATTATTCTGCTAGGTACATTATCTCTTCAGAGCCAATGAATTCACTGATAAGATACCAAACCTCATCTGCAAAGGACTATGGGAAATGTAGTTTTTAGCTTTCCAGTGCTTGTACCCAGGAAGGCATTCCTGGAGAAGGCTAGAACAGATACGTAAACAGCTGACCCAGTTTATGCATCTAAAGAAAACTACAGCAATCCAGGCTATTAATGACACTGGCTTGAATTTGTAAAGGAAATAGACAAGACAGATGCAGATAAATTCATTGAATGGAAGAACTGGAGGGGAGAAACAGAAGGAATCAGGATGAGTGTCCACTTTCTGGCTAGGGCAACTAGATAATTTATGTTGGTTACTGACACCAGCAAGACTGGGAGAGAAGGTGGTTGGCAAGTAACATTTAATTTTTTCTGGATGTGTTGATTTTGAGAAAACCACAGGACTGTAGGGTGTCCCAATTTTAAGTCATTTAATTTGTAGAAAATGTGATGATTTGTAGCAAAAAGACTAGTCTTTTGCAACATGAGTTACAATTTTGTATATAAATTTGTTCATTGTTGATATTAATTCAATTGTCTGTAGTCCCAAAAATAAATAAGCCTAAGATTACACTATTATTTTTTAAGTTTTATTTTTAATTTTTTAAAAAAAATTTATAATAGTTAATTTTTACATCATTTGGTGCATTTTTCCATCTCAGTTGCAATCCCCTTGGGTTTCCATCACCAAATCACCCATGTGCCATCACCATATTTTTAATTTTTAAATAATCTCAGGACTTAATGCTAGTTATTTAATCTCATTGTTGAATAGTGTTTTTCTTTTATTTCTCTAAAGGTCTCTTGGGTATCCCAGTCCTTGGGTTCTTGTTTCAGAATATTTGTTTGTTACATTTATTTATAACAAAACTTGATGGGGTATTATATTCTTGGGTCATGCTTTCTGATTTATGTGATTGGTTGGTAATGGTGGTGTTTTGCACCTCAATTTGTTTTATCATCTCTATGGATTCCCTTTTCAACTCATTGTGCTGTTTATCATTTGTCTTTGAGCTTTTGTCTTACCATATTCTCGTGCTTACTAATTTTTAGACCTCAAAGTATTTATGGGGCATTGTCTTTGCTTTTTGTTATGTTTTCTTTCAGATTGCATTCCCCCCACCCCCTCCCACCCCTCACTTTTCCACGTGTTCCTTTCTTGTACTCCTTTTGCCGTGGTATGTGCTTAGTTTCCATTTTGTGTAGAGCTTAGGTTTTTAAAAGAGGACCCCTTTTGGGGAAGTGCGCTGGACTATGGTGATGGCATACAGGTGATTTGATGATGGGAAGCCCACAGGGATTACAACTGAGATGGGAAAAGGCACAAAATGATGTAAAAATAAACTATTATATTATTTAATGAAAAATAAAAGAGGGCCCCTTTCTCCAGACCATCTCTTCACTGAAACACAGTATGGATAAACTCTTCTCGCTGACTTCTAGGTGGAGCTTGAGAGCTGGGTATTATCAATATAATTCTGCCTGCTTTTCTGTAATCTGAAGGGGAAACCTCTCTCGAGTTGGGTTCAGCATTTAACTGACCCCTTGGATCCTGCTCTCTTTTCTGAGATTTGTTCAATTATCATAACCAGGTTTCACTTATCTTAAGGCATATGGTAGGAGATGGGCTGGAGAAAGACACATTTAGACTTTGAATCATTCACCTTTTCAGTGTGGAGTCTTGGAAATTTTCAAGTCCTATAGTTTTGGTTTTGTTTGGTTTGACTTTTGATCTGTTTTGTTTCCCTTTGCTGAGAGTGACATTCTGGAAGTGGGATGGAGGGGCTTCTTATCTCTATGCTGGTTCCTCAGTCTTCCTCTGTCTGTCTTCTTACACCTTTAGCCCAATTTTCTTTAAACTGGGAAGCACTAGCCAGTGTGCTCAGGATTTTATCCTTTCTCTCCTTTTCCATAATGGCTTCTGGGGATCAGGTTAGATTTCTTGCTTAGCTGAATCATGTAGTATAAAGCTTTCACTTCCTTTTAAACAAGACAATAAGATTATCCCCTCTTTTATGTTAGTTGCTGATGGTGATTTTTTTTTTTACTTGTTTCCAAAAACCCTATTTTGACTCAAGTTCTGGGAGAAGATTCCGTAATCGGTTTTGTCATAATTTACAGGGTAGAGTGAGGAATAGCCCAGCACCCCAAGTCTGCCCACTCTTAATAGTTTCTGCCATCTGCCACATAAAGACAAAACAGTATAGAATGTAAGACATGTAAGAGAAAAGAACTTTAATACAGCTAGGGTGTAATAGAGACAGCTAGTGTGTAGTAGAGAGAAGAGAAAGGATATAGTTTCCAAATTAAATACCCAAAGTTGCCCATCCTTGTGGGCAAATGCCCAACCAAACAGGTTTGGCCCGAAGCTGAGGCCCAAAAGCTTGCCACAGTCTAAGGCACCTTCTGGTGAGGGCCCATGGAAAAGGGGCAAAAGGGATCAGGCAAATTTGAGAGGAAAAGAGAGAAATAAAGGTCAAGGTAAAGGTTGCCATTTTCATTCTCCCCACAGGTCTCTCACTCCTGTCTGTTCAGTGTCCCCTTCTGTGTCCCCCAACCCCTGGCACAAGTCCAAGGCCAAGAAACAAGAGCAGCTACTTCTTGATATGTCCTTCTGTTCCATGTGTCTCCCCCAGTATTTTTCCTCCCCATCTCATATTTTCTGAGAAATCTGTATGTTTTAATAATGTATGCTCAGAATGTAGGAATGTAACATTAATATTTTTTAGTTCTATCTGAACTTAGAGTTTACAAAGCCCTTACTCATCTGTTATTTTATATAATTCTTTGACTCTCATAAGGTAGGCAGGGCAGAACTATTATGCCAGTTTTATTAGGGAGGAAACTGAGATCCTAAAGGATTGAGTGAGTTTCTAAGCTATACAACGAATTATAAGGCAGAGACAAGACTCTGAAATCAGTTCTTCTAACTTCAAGACCGGTGCTATTTTACTGTACCGTGTCACTCCCCTGATGGAAGTGATTACCCCATCCCCAACCACAGACATCTTACTATGTCCTTAATGTTCCTTCCCAACCTCGTTGTAACACTGATTTAACTGAGTTAAAGCTCTATTATATTATGTGATCATTGTATCCTAATCCTGAACTAACCTTAGTGTGTCTTGGTCATAATAAAACTTTTATCAGGTCTTTTAAGCATTTTTTCCTCCCTCTGGTGTGAAGGAAGCTGATTGACTTCTTCAGTAAAGTCAGACCTAGACCCTCCAAGGCTACCAGTAAAGACAAGCATTCTCCACGCGGTGATGGGAAATTTGATTGTCTAGGCTCTGGTCTTACTTCATAATTCATTCTCCTCTTGGTATCTTTCATTCTTTATTCCTGTCTTGACCAAGATATTTGCCAGCAAGCAACATCCTTCATTTACCTATTTCTTACTAGAATGTATTCTTGATTCTTCCATAGGTTCTTTGTATTGTAGCCTATAAAATGAGACTGGAATGTTTAAACCAGGTATCACTGAATGAGTTGGGTTAACAGCTGACATACAACTAGATGTTTCTGTAAGTTACAACTTCTCCAGGGCTCAGAAACTACTGGCCTACTTCTGTCTTCCTATCCGTTACCTAGGGACTTGTGCTTAGATCTGTCCAAGAGAACAACTATGCAGAGTGATTAGACTTCTGTTTTCTTTGTAGTGTATACTTTTCTGGTTACACATCTCTCCCTGAGCCTATTCTTAACATAATAATTCACAGCCGACAAGGGGACCATCTTTAGAAGAAATCCTCCCTCTTTCCAGAGGACACAGTTTTCCTATGACCTCAACACATCCACTCACAGCCATAACAGAGTGACTGTATCAGATCACAGATTGTATAATAGTCATTAGACAGGTACAAAAACTAGGATACTAGAAAGTTGTTGAGAGTAGCAATGTAGTTTACCTGTAGTTCTGAAGAAGTCCACAGTTCATGTGCTAATGACTTAAGCTGATACTGTTTGTTTTCCTTTGTAGGTATCATGAACTGATCACAAAATATGGGAAGCTGGAGCCTTTGGCAGAAGTGGACCTAAGGCCCCAGAGCAGTGCAAAAGTAGAAGTCCATTTTAACGATCAGGTGGAGGAAATGAGCATTCGTCTGGACCAAACAGTCGCAGAGCTAAAGAAACAATTAAAAACTCTAGTGCAGTTACCTACAAGCAACATGCTTCTCTACTATTTTGACCATGAAGCGCCCTTTGGCCCAGAGGAAATGAAGTACAGCTCTCGGGCATTACACTCCTTTGGCATTAGGGATGGTGATAAAATTTTTGTGGAATCCAAAACAAAATAACCTCTACCAGCCTTGTAAAAACACACTCACGAGGACTTCTTGCAGGGCACTTATTTCCAATGTGGTTTTCTTTAGGAGAGGGAGAAGGTTGTTTTTGTTGTGTTTTGTTTGGTTCTGTTTTCTTTAGCTTGGGGAGGAGGGTGGGTTTGTATATTTTGCCCCTAGGATGAATGGGGGGCTGTTTTTGGTATTTTCTACCACAGACTTCTTTGGCCACATCTCCAGTTCCTATGCCCTTCCTCTTGAAATATTAACAGGGGAATCACTGACTTCTTACTGTCCCACAATTTGGCTGTCGCTTGGTGATCATTTCCACTTAGGTGAACTTGTCTGGCGCGGCATGTCCCCCTGAGGAGGGCATCTGATAGCATTACATCAGGAAATGAGGAACCTTTCCGAAGGGGAGCCCCTCTGGCCCACTTTCTTCTTTCTTCTCACCTTCCTTTCTTTTTTATTTCATTCAAATTTTCATGTGTCAGCACATGTTTACCTAATATTTTATTCTGTCCATAATTGACTTCTTATTATTCAACCTGAGTGGGTTTTGTTTCTTCATTTTTTTCCCTTTTGAAATAATTTAAAGTGTTTTGAGCATGTTTCAACCTGATTCTAATCTCAGGTACTCAGAATCTAAGTTCTGTAAGGATCTCGAAGAAGAATAGATGAAGAGTTGAAACCATCTAGGGACAGAGACTGATCTCTTTGAAAGTAGCTAACTCAAATATAATGTTCCTCACCTCACACATTATTACATCTACCGTCACTTCCATAACATGAAATATGTCCAATTCCACAGTTCTTTTACTTTGGCTTACTGAGTGTATTTCCTCTTATTAACCTATCTTTTTCATACTTTAGCCTATTGGGATTAGAGCCCTGACCTTATGCAGAATCCAGTAGATTAATGCATATTTGTACCAGGATCATTGAGAATTAGCTAATAAACCAGCTGCAGTATGTGGGGGTGGCCAGGGCTGCGGGAGGGGGAGCTGTGGCTTCTCGCCTCTGTTACCACTTGCAGCCCTCGATCTTGCCCTTTGCATTGAAAGTGGGTAGTTGTAATCAAAGGAAACTTTGAATCCCAGTTCTTCCCTTGGATTTTGTGATGTGGTAATTGAGTCATTCTTTTTGTTCTACATTTCAGTTTAGTTGCCCCTACAGAAGAACAGCTTTGCCTAATCTTTGAGTAAAGTGTAAAAGCCAAAACTTCAGAAATGCCTACAGGTTCTATTTTTTTGCAGAAGCAGATGTAAAGCACTTTCCTTTTAAAAGCTAGTCCTCTACCTTAAATAGTTTTGTTTGTTCTTCTATTCCTTTGTCAATCAGATGTAGTCCTTTATATAAATATATATGTGCGTGTGTGTGTGTGTGTCTGTCTGTCTGTCTGTCTGTCTGCCTGTCTGTCTGTCTTGGACCACCATGTTGGCAGGTGGGAGACCTGAGATGGCTTAGCTTATGGAGGGCAGAGGTGTGCACATGAAGTATTTTTTGAAGAATGTAACCATCCGATTGTGTTTGATCTTTTCACCTTCATTCCATGATCCTCCCCCTCCTACAAAGTCTTTAATTTCTTACGAAATTTTTAGATGATTCTTGTAAATTCTTCATGTGTGGGGAGTTGTGTTTATTATTGCTACTTTTTAAAATTTCCTAAGCTCTAACAAGCAGATGTTTATTCTCTTAATGCACTTCAGGTTCAGTATCTGTAAAGCCTTTGACTCGGGCGTGCCGAGTCAAATCTACATTCACTGTAACATTTAAAGGTGGAAACCAAAGGGTTTGAGAAAGGTGAATGAGGCCTCGTCTCCTCTGCTGCACAGGTATCTCTCAGGATCGAAAGTGAGCAATGGAGGCCCAGGCTGGTTACAGCCAAGAGCAATTATTTTGCAGTCACATTCTCCTGGCAGGTTTTTGGAAGGGGCTGGGGTGGGGGGGGAGGAATGTATGGCAACAGTATGATGAAGATGAAAATGGGGTGCTTGTAGATGGGTGCAGATGATATAGATGAGTTTGAGAGAGAAACAGTGTCATCGAGCCCATTCCTTGTCAGACTGGGATAGATGCGCTGCACTATTTTGAGATTTTATGACCCCTAACTGTCTTAGAGCTGAAGGCAGAGTGAACACTTATGTCACACTTTAATCATAAGTGAAATGGTCACAATTAATAAGATATTTTATATATGACAAAGTTTTATGAAATGCTTTTTTACTCTTAGGGACCTGAACCTTCTGTTAGAACAGTGTCCATCAACTGCAGGCATAATGCTTCTACATACAGTTGCATGTCAGGGGAACTTCTCATTTAATTCAGTGGACGTGGGTATTTTTAGAAATTGCAAGTGATAGTTTTAATAATTGCTGAATAATTTTTGATGAAGCCAAAATCTAATACAATTACTCGTCTTTTAGAGTCACAGAACAGAAACAAGTAAGAAATACTAGTTGAATGTGTCCCCCAGTAGACGCACTTGGGTAGCTGAGTAAAGATATTGCTTTTGAAAAAATAAAAAATTGGTGCTGTGTAGACACTTGCAACTAAAATTATTTTCATGGCGGGCCAGAAAGAAGGAGTGAAGAGACCATGGACTTTTGACTCTATAAATCACGCATAATTGATTGCTGCAGCTTATCTGTATGTTAATTACTGACTTGCTCCAGAACCAGTGACATTTAGGGACCCAAGTGCTGTCTTCACCAGTGTTAAAGATAGGTCGCAGCAGGCACAGTGTACAGAGCATCTCTTTTCTCAAACAAGTTCATTTAAGTTAAGACAAAGGAAAGGGGTAGTAAAAAAAATCCTGGGGTTCTACATGTGGGCACAAACATGCTGAAATCACAAGAGAAATTAGTTTTTGAACGTGAATTACTGAAATATCCCAAACTTTTAAAGGGAAAAAGTTCAGTCATGTCTTTTTTCATTGTTGAAAGTTTCTGTTGCTTCTACAACCTGTTGCCATCATTGTCATAGATAAAAGAGCAGAGATGGTCTCTAATCCATTGTTTCTTTAAGCCTTTTGGTGAAAATGCACCCCAAACATGTGCTGTGTGTACGAGCTGAATGTTACTAGTATGCTATGTTTTAAGACTCGTTTACTAAAAGACAGTTCACTTCTAACCTGTTTCTGATGTGTTGCTAAATCAGCAGTGTTATGAGCAGACACTTGCTACACGAGCTACCGGTCTGTTTGAGCCAGCTGGAGACGGCGCTGGCTAATGGGCGCTGCGCCTGGCTTCCTGCGGGAGGTGCCAGCCCCAGAATGCATATGACAGTGATGGGGGAATGCTAGATTGTTCTGAAGAATGTTTATGAATTTGATTTTTCTCTTCATTCCATCATAGATTGAAAATGCAAACAAACCGCTTTCAAGAACCCCCAAAGCTATCTGTATTACCAGATGTGTTGTGAACACTCTGTTTTCCATAGGTGCTTCCTTCAAATATATGTCCACTGTAGTGGTGGTGGAGAGGGACTGGACTCTCTCAGGCTCTTCACTTGCCAGTTGTCTCCTGCAGTTAATGGAAATATATATTTTATTTTAGAATATAATTTAAACATGGAGGTCTATTCTTTGCACTTTTTATTAATATATAGATAATCTTTAAAAAAATTAAAAATTCAAGTCCACTTTCTCTTTGTGTTCTGATTTTTTTTTTTTCTGGAGATGTGGGTCAAGAAACATGTTTATTTTTAAAATATTTTTAGCTAAAATGCTACATCAGTGCTGGGGTTGAATCCTCTGGAGAATTGCTTTAGCTGGTAAGCATTCAACCAAACGTAGATGGAATTTTGCCCAACATAGAAATAAAAGCTGCAAAATAGACTCACAGGAAATGTGTTATTGCTTCTGTGTTAGCAAAGTTTTATATTTCTCACATGCTCTTGACATTTCCTTTGTATCCCTTTGAGGACGAAAACCTCTGTTTGAGATATTTGGCATCCTCTTTTTTGAGTAAGAATGAAAATCTCATTTTGGTTAATTAGATTTTTGCCAATTCAAATTCAAGGGAAACTTTTTTCCTTGAAAAATAATTTTCTTTAAGAATTAGAGATTTGGTCACTTGTTACTAAGTAATTAGAACTATCTGCTTAACGGTTATTTCTTGGTAAACTGTTTTGAATTAGCTTAGTGCCAACAATGAAGAGCCAAGGACTGTACTTTATTTATATATTTAAAAGAGTCTACTAACTTCTCTCAGAGCTTCAGAAGTACATGAACATTGACCTGTTGAAGGTTACTGCTACATCATTCAGATCTCAAGGAACTGTCATTTTATTGTCTGTGCTAAACATTAATTAATATTTATTGTGAGCTTAAGTACTGGAAAGGCCAACATATTTCAACCCATCAGTACCTATTGGGCTTAAAATGCTGCAACTTTCACTAGTTACTAGAATGCACATAAAATGTGAAAATTAGCCTTTGAAGTCACATTTCTCTCTCCAGCTCCTCTCTGGAAAAGGAGCCACTTACATTGCAGAATTGGAATTGAGAGGTCACTATTGAATATTTAACGTTATTAAATAATGTCTATCAGTTTGACTTCAAACTTAAGGTTTCAAGTAAAGCCAGATTACTTAAACATATGTTGGTCATTGTAGATTTTAACTTGAGTCATTTCATCTGCTTTTAAAATTTTAATGTAACTATGATTAGGAACTCTGTTAATACAGTTCCTAATATACCTCTTAAATTACAATGAACTTGATATTCTTTCAAAAAGTTGGTAACACTAGAAATGTTTAGCTTTCTTAAAATATATATTTTACTAGATACACACACATATGTCTACATATATTAATATAATATGTGAACATATTATAGCTTCCCACCTTATCATCTAAATACAGCTTTGTGTTTTTATGTTTCTTTTTTTTTTACACAGTTTAACATTATACTATGGAGCCTGGCATTTTACAGCTTTATTTGAAAACACTGAAACAGTGACTTACGTAATAATTAAGCCTAAGAAATAACAAACTAGAATAAAGGAAATACATTCTCTTTAAACAGGTGAAGTAGGAATTGCTAATACCACTTAAAAATCTTTGTCTTAGGCTTTTCTTCAATGTACGTTGGTACCTGAACAACTTACTTGCCTTCCATTTTAAGAAACACGGTACAAACATCCCAGGGAAAGGAAAAGAGCCAGGGGTTCAAGTCTGCAATTTTCTATTTCCATGTTTTCTTCTAAATACTGAGAACAAGCACTTATCAACCCACTCTAATATTAGATCCATAGGATATTAACAACAACCCTAAGAGGTTGGCACTGCTATTATTCTTACTAGGAGGAAACTGAAGCACAGAGTAGGTAACTTGATAATGACAACAGAGGCAGAATTCAAAACCATGTATTTTCCAAGATTCATGCACGTGGGCCCTTGGTGGTGCAGTGGGTTAAAGCACAGTTCGATGCCCAGCCAGGGAGGTGGCCCACATGGCACAGCAGACCTCTCCTGTCTTGCCCTCTATTCCAACTTCAGCAGTGTACTTTGTCAGTCTGCCTGTTCTGCTCCCCACTCTGTCTCTGGTGAATCCTCATCCCCTGCACCTCTGGCCTGTGCCCCAGTTCTATATGCATAAATAAATAAATCTTAAAAAAAAAATTCATGCACTTGACAGCAATACAGCCACACTAATCCTTCCTGCTGAAGTTCTCCTCTACCCTCTCCACAGTCTTCAAACACTAAAATGAGATCTTCCTGCATATCCATTTACTAAATTGATATCCTCTGTAATAAAATAACTGATGTGGTTGATGGTTCTAAATCCAAATTGGAATCTGTCCTCATATTGTTTCCAGTGTTGTGAAATTGAGTAGATACATATATCCCCTGTCCTCCCTGCTCCTCTAAAATGTCACAGCGACATTTGTGATGGGTGCTTTTGATAAGAATAAATGAGCGATCATAATGCAGGAAAACTGATCCTTTGGTTTTTAACCTAAGACATTCTAGAGTTTTCGAACTTTGTTCATAGGCAATGAAAGGGGAGCAACCTCTCCATTCCAATTCAGACTTTCATCAAAGAGGCATCAGTATTCAAGTGAACTTAAATTGGTATTTATGGCAGGAAATAAGTTTATAATCTAATAGAGCCTATCAAAGGTTTTCATATGAAAAAGGACGAGGCTGTCATTGTTATTGTTCCTTCTTAAAATTTCAAGAGTGCCTGTGAAGAATAAAAATACTGCTCACATAAGGGAGAAGACAGGTTATCTAGTATCTGCAAGGTCTAGATCAGCCAAAAAATTACAATGCAACTTCAGTTTGTTGACTCTTTCATAGACTCTCCCATCCTTGAACTCATCTTAGTCACTGTGAATAATTCAATTAAGATGTTAAGTAAGCGGGCTGTCCCTGGTGGCACAATGGGTTAAAGCACCGCATTATGAAGCTCTCCAAAGCCACTGCAGCTGGAGTTTGACCCCCGGCTGGCCAGGGAGCTGACCCACATGGCGTGGCAGACCTCTCCTGACTACCCACTACTCCCCTCAGCAGTGTACTCAGTCAATCTGCCTGTTCTGCTCCCCACTCTCTGGTGAATCTCACCACACCTCTGGCCTGTACCCCAATTCTGTAAGCATAAATAAATAAATATGTTTAAAAAAGATGTTAAATAAGAATGGGAGTAAGGATACAGGCTCAAGAGAAAGAAATGTATTCTGAAATACCTGATACATTTGAAGGCAGATGCAAGCTTTAATATTTGAATATGCAACTAGGTCAACATGAATTGCTTTGGTTATCTTAGTATATTGTTTGGTTTAAATTTCAATTTGTTTACTATATGGATATATATATATATATCTCCTTATATATATACCCTTATATATATCTCCTTATATATATACTTAGGTCAGTTAGTTATGTG